ATATATATATATATATATATATATATATATATATATATATATATATATATATATATATATATATATATATATATATATATATATATATATAATATATATATATATCCCTATTATCCGATGGCCAGAGAGTGATAAAATTGTTATGAATTGTAAAATTTTTGGTATTTGTGGTGCAGCAAGTCCAGAGACTGTTGTGTACACCAGGATTTTCAAACTGTGGGGTTTGACAGCATCTATTAAGGGGGACGTGAGACATTGAGGCGTGCACTCGAGTAAATTATGATGACGATTTTTATACGTTCACTAGAGGGAATATAATTAACGTTAGCTCCACTTCTAACTATCAGGCGCCTATAGAGTTTATGCGTTGCTGTAAAATATAGACAAATAAAATGGACCAGGTGCTTTTTTAAAACTAATGACGGTGCATGAAAGTCAAACCGGTGACCGTCTGACAAAAAGGTGCCCTTCTGAATCAAATCAGCAGGATGCCCTTCTGGATCTTTCACTTACTTTGAAGACACTACTGACTATCCCCTTCCACCGAATTGGCTCTATCACTGTCTCTCCTCTCCACCATTAGCTGGTGTGTGGTGAGCGCACTGGCGCCGTTGGATGCTGCACACTGGTGGTGATTGTGAAGCGCTTTGGGTGTACGGCCATACACAATAAATGCGCTATATAAATACACATTACATTACATGTTTACATCAGTTATTTTCCTTAATAATATAATTAAGGTGTAACAGAAAGTGCTTTTTGAATGTTGTGTCACCAGGCTATTCCCGTTTCCTGAAGAGGCTCGTGTAATTTTGGGTGTTTCATCTTTAATTTTTTGACTTTACTACAGTTCGTTTTAAGTTTCACTCATGAACATTTCATTCACGCTCCCATGACAAACTGGGGTATTAGACACGAGTATAAAGTAAGGATTGGTGGAAGAGTGTTGTTTAATAGAAAGTCAAATGGAAAGAAAAAAAACTTAGCATTTCGTGATTTATGTGAGTGTGTGTGTGTGTGTGTGTGTGTGTGGTCCTTTACTTACAGCCGTGTGTGAATCTTGTCTCAAAATGCGGCGAAAAGTCCTACATGACGGTAATAGTTTGATTGCGGTGTTTACTTCAATAATGCCACTAATATAGGCATACTCCACGTCTTTGTTCCATTTCTGTTTAGTTCAATTGTGACTTTGGTCTGATTAAGGTAATCAAAAATAGCTGTTTACATGGTAGACTCTAATCAGAGTATTGTCTTAGTTATATAAAGTCGTATTAAAGTATTGTTGTCCATGTAAACATTCTCAATATTCGACTCAACCACACTGTCAGGGCTCTGCGAACCTGGCTTTGCAAAGCAGCATTTTTTGTAGGTACATCAAGAGCCAATATGCTATGGCTCACGCTTATTGGCAGTCAAAGATGATTCACGGTTAGTCGTGCCATTGAAATTGGACAAACTTGGGAGGTTGTGTGTCCTAAAAGTTTGAAAATTGGTGTACACCATGATTTTATATAAAATTCCCTTTAATATGTGATAGGGCTAATAAGTGGCCATAAAGGAACATTTTCTCAATTGAAGTGAGTAGCGGCTTGGACCCGGAAACAGTATTCCATACATCACTGATGCGTCACAACTTAACAAGCGGATTGAAAGCCTTTAGGGGGGGTCTATCAGTCCTTTGAAGCGGGGCTATCAGTGTGTGCCTCATTTATGCCATGCATTCATCCATTTGTCAATCTTCCTCCATCGTTTGTTAGCAAAGCTCATCTTCCAAACACCCAATCAGTTCCCAAATGATAAAATCATCCACATCCCTACTTTTTTTTCTTCTCTAATTTCACGACTGTTTCAGTTGGATAATTTCGGGAAAAGGACCTTCCTAACTCATGAACACTTTAGGCTGGTGTCTGTGTTTTAGAACACATCAGTTGATTTCTGGCTCATAAATGCTGGTTATTACAGTAACTGGCAGACTGAAAGACATCTTGAAACAGAATGACATATATAAACTAGAACCTAAAGTTCATTGATAAACTTTGATGTTGGCTTGAGAAAGCCAACGTGACTGCGCTAGGACTGGGAATGGCAGTTGGCAGGAAGCACGGCGGCGGTTGCTAAGTGGTTGCTAGGTAGTTGCTAAAACAATTATGGCATTGTTAGGTGGTTGCTAAGCAGTTGCTAAATGGCAATGCTCGTGTACATGTTTGATCAAATGCTAATACTTAGTAGGCATTTCTAGCATATGTTATTGCATATAGATAATCATAGCATGTAGCTAATCGTTATTAGCACTTGGCTTGCATTATCATTGTTACCATGCATAGTACACAGGAAGTCCCATTTGCTAGCATGAGTCAAACAAGCCAATGCCAAGGTCCCTACGATGTTCTGATGTAGAGATATTGCTGTTTTTAAATGGTTGCTAGGTTATACTGTTTTATTGCTATGGGGACATTTGACAGGTTAGTGATGATACATCAAAGCTTCTTGGCAATATGAGTGATCTTAATCAACCCCGATGTTTCTATGACAGTGTTTATGAGTGTCAAAAACTGGACTTGAACATTATGTATTCCTGGTGTTGGGTTGCGGCTGGAAGGGCGTTCGCTGTGTAAAACAATTGCTGGATAAGTTGGCGGTTCATTCCGTTGTGTCGACCCCTAATTAATAAAAGGACTAAGGAAATGAACATTATCTAAAAATGGCTTGCTGTATTTTTTTGAAAATACAATGCTTATTAAGTGTGAAAGTGATACATGCAAAAATGGCTTGCCATATCAGTAAAAAATATGGAGTTAAAGTCAAAAATGGCTTGCCATATTTTGAGAAAAATAATGCTTAAAAATTATTTATTGGAAAACTATAAGTCTGATAAACCTTAAAGATATAGCAACAAAATCTAACGCATCTAAATACAGCTTTTGGCCAAATTTGGGGCTTGTATAATTTTTTTATATGCTCGGATTATAAAAATGTAATATTTAACACAATAAGTCTTATAGGCATGAGGAGATATAGCAACAATCTTGAATGCAGAAGGCACATTTTGACCACATTTGGGCCTTGTGGCATGAACGGCCTAGGAGGAGATACGTTTGTTTTCAAGGACAGAGTAGTATAACAGTATGTTGGCTTTCTCAAGCCAACATAATAATTAATGAACTCACCAGCCTGGTTGGTAGTGATGTTAACAGAGGCAAACTGGGGTGCATAGGGACTCTTGCTGGCTACTCCGTTGACGGCTTGGATCTCAAAACTGTACTGGGTGTGAGCCTGAAGGTTTCTGATCGTCACGTGTCTCTCTGTGAGCCCAAGGTGGCGTGGAGAGATGTCCACGTTGTCATCACACCGTGTGCAGGTACCGCGTTCGGGAAGACATTTCTTGCAGATGACGTTGTAGAGAAGGTCCTCTCTTCCACCTTGGTCACGTGGCTCACTCCATTCAAGTATAAGTGATGTCTCGTTTACACTGGAGATAACATTACGCGGTGCTGATGGCACAGCTGCAAAAAAATACATAAATAAATAAAATCATGTTTGTCTTTAGTAGATACAATTAAACATTTTAGCCAGATTTGTATATTGTATATTTTAAAAAGGAGGCGTGGCACCTAACCCCACCCCTAAACCCAACCATCATTGGGGGATGAGCAAATCGCACTAAAATGTACGAATTAGATCGTACGAATTTGTACGAATTAGCCACTAAATGAAAAAAGTTACGAATTGCCATGAGATTGTGTTGGGTTTTCCATTTTTGGCCGCTTTAAGCTGTTTTCATTAATATTCCTGAAATTTTTAAATTGTCGTCAGATAATAAAGTTTAGTTTGGTTTAGTTGCTTGCCCATATGATTTTCCCATCTGAACAAATCAACAAGTTACCCAAACCCAGGGGTGCCCAAACTCTGTCCTGGAGGACCAGTGGTTTGCAGATTTTAGTTCCAACTTACCTCAAAACACCTGCAAGGATGTTTCTTAAAAGCTTAGTAGGCCAACAGGGGTGTACAAACCCAGTTCTTAAGGGCCTGTGTCCTGCATATTTTAATTCCAACTCCAATTAAACACACCTGAACCAGCTAATCAAGCTCTTTCTAGGTATACTAGAAACTTCCAGGCAGGTGTGTTCAAGGATGTTGGAGCTAAACTATGCAGGACACCGGCCCTCCAAGACCGAGTTTGGACACCCCTGGGCTTGATTAGCTAACTCAGGCGTGTCTGATTGGGGTTGGAACTAAACTTTGCAGGACACCGGTCCCCCAAGTTTGGGTACCCCTGCCCAAACCCTAACAGAACTACCATTGCATTCAGTGCCTGAGAAGATGAAAACAGCATTTTAAATCTGAGCTGCGTCCCAAATCACATACTTATGCACTATTCTACGCCATTTTGTAGTATAAATAGTGTAAGTAGTGCGTTTACACTAAAAACTCTAAAAATAATCAGTGCACTTTAATTACTCAAATGATGCACTCTGTAAAGTGAAGTGTGTAATGATGGACACTTCACGCACTCAACGACCGCAGGTTTGCTCATGTAGCTGAAGGGGCGGAGCTATCGGACGCACATGTTGGATAACTTTATTTATTTTGGATGGTGAAAGCAAAGTTCTCCTACGAGAGTGATTATAGCGCCTCCCGATGGTGAATGCAGTTACACTCACGGCAAGTATTATTTGATAATTCGGTCGTTTATTTCACTGATATGGCAACCGTCAAACGTCATCAAGGAAATGATTTGATTTTCCGCTTATTAAAAAACCATTAGTGTGCCATTTGGGACGCCACTACATACAGGTACATATACTACACTGTTGAGTGTGTAAGTGCATAAGTACATAGTGCATGAGTGCATAGTGTGCCATTTGGGACGCAGCTGTTATTTTTTTCAAGCACGAAAATGGTTAAACATGACGCTTCATGCTCACTCACTGCAGATTGAGTGCTTTTAAGTAACTAAAATAAAGCAAAATCACGTTGTCCCATTTGTGCTGCTTATTTTAACATCATAGCTGTGCTGTTTACTTGCGAGAACATTTTTTGCATCAAACTGTTTAGAGTGCTGACAATGAACACAACCAGAAAGGAGCGGGTATTAAATAGAAGAGGGAACATTTTAAAGGAATCCCAGCCATTCTCCTGCTTTGTGGTCAGAAAATCTGATTTACATATTGATGAATATATAGTTTGAGCACATATGCGATGTTTAGATCACAGGTGTCAAATCCAGGTCCTGAAGGGCCGTAGCTCTGCACAGTTTAGTTCCAACCTTGCTTCAACACACTAATGGCGTGGTCACATTAGAGTTTAGGCATGCAAAATTCAGTCATATGGCACTGCTAAAAGGGGCGGGATTAAACAAGATAAAGCTGCGGTTACACTTAACTTTTTTCCACATAGACTTCCATTCATACGCATGTGAATGCGTCCGACCGGAAACGCAGGGTCATGCGTTAAGTTTTGCAGGTCGCTGCAGTCCAAAGTTCAAGCTTGGTGAACTGTGACCAGCGAAATCGCATCACTTGACTGCGTGAGACCAATCGAGGATCAAAACATGACCTCTCTGGACAGATATTTAAAACATTAAACATTTTTAATGTTTAATAATCTTGTTTAATCCCGCCCCTTTTCGCTGTGGCGTACGATAGAATTTCGCACACAGAAACTCTAGTGTGACCGCAGCTTAATTCGCCATTTTAAAAAGCAAGCGATTGGTCCATATTTGAAATTTCTGTCCAAGAGCTCATATTTTTGATCTTCGATTGGTCTCACGCAGTCATGTGATGTGGTTTCGCAGGTCAGAGTTCACCAAGCTTGAACTTTGCAATCAACGAACTGCGAAACTTGTCGCACGAGCTTGCGTTTCTGGTCTCATGCGTACGACTGGAAGTCTATAGGGAGAAAAGTCCAGTGTGACCCCAGCTTTACCCGTAGGTTTAAAACAAGCTTGAAGGACTCAATTAGTTTGATCAGGTGTGTTTAATTAGGGTTAAAGCTAAACTGTGCAGAGCTGCGGCCCCCAGGAACTGGATTTGACACCCATGGTTTAAATCAATACAGCTTTTTAAAGCAAATATTGAAGTTTTAAAGCATTTTAATGACAAATAAACAACACTGCTTGTTGTTCAGATGAGATCCTGGTAGACAAAATGGAGGTTGTAGTTGAAGGAGTCACTCACTGGTGCATCCTGAATCAGGTGAGTCACTGTCCGCCCGATAGTAGCCTGTCCTGCAGGAACAGATGCTGGCAGCTCCAGAACTCGTCCGGCTGTTTGGTGGACACGGGGAACACAACCCTTCTCCTTGCTTGGACTTAAATGTACCTGGACTGCAAGCTAAAGAAAGAAATAACGTTCAATGTCAGACATAAAACCTGCCAGCTCTAGCTGCATATTCACTCCCAATGTACAAAATTTGAGTGTTGCCTCCAACTCTCATTGCATTGAACAGATAAATCAATAGCAATTTCCCTGGTGCGGTTTGCATTTGGTGAGATCTGCTTGCCTTAATTTACATCCTTTTGTTTTTCTTACCCACAGTTTGCGCTAATCCGTTCCATCTTGGCATTGTAAAATAAGAAAGCATACAGGTTCTTGCTTACGTTTTTTTGTTTGGCACTGTTAATTTGCTGTTGCTTTCCTCCGGGGGAAATAACCCCCCTCGTGACTAGACAAGTTCCAACAACAAACCCTGGCCTCATATAAACCCCCATGCGCACATGCTAGCCGTCAAACACGATTACAAACACATGCCTGTTAGTTCCAAACTAAAGCACTTTTCAAAATGAACTCTTTTAATCAAACCTCAAACACCGGGAACCCTACAGAAAAATCCAGCTTAAACCAGCCTAGGCTGGTTGGCTGGTTTTAGCTGATCGACCAGCCTGGTTTTAGAGGGGTATGGACCATTTCCAGGCTGGTTTCCAGCCATTTCCAGCCTGATCACCAGGCTGGGAGATGACCAGCTAAAACCAGCTTGACCAGCCAAAACCAGGTATGTCCAGCTTAAACAAGGCTGGTGAAATGGCCAAAACCCCTCTTAAACCAGGCTGGTTAACAAGCTTAAACCAGCCAACCAGCCTAGGCTGATTTAAGCTGGATTTTTCAGCAGGGAATGCCAACGTTTTGCCACAGGAAGTGTCTCTCTAAGGTAAACAAAGGACGTTGAAGGCTACAAGGGAAAGTGTGAGCGGTTATCTTATGAATACAAAGATTAGTGTGTCGTTCGCAGGTCTTTGACCCTTGTGGATCTCTGCCGACACCATTTACAGAGATTGTGTACACAATTTATTACGTCTACGGTAAATGCTGAGGTGCTCTTCTGACACACGATGGCATTGTGATCTTACTGTAAGGAAAGTCTCCTAATTCTCTTAGGATTAATGAGAAAGTTGAATGTTTAGTAATAGTAGAGGAGCTAGAACTCAACCTCTGAGCCAGTGGTTACTGGTTATCAGTAGTCCTTTCTGCAACTGACGCTTAGAAACATCAAATAATCAACAGCTGCCGCATTTTTCAGGAAATTGTTTGAACATCTGGCTTCTGTGCTGATAGCGTCCAACGTTTCACACACCACTGGTGATGTTCCTGATGTCACCTTCCAAGTTCCCTTTTCTCAGAATGTGCAATGTTGACACACGGTTTCATTAGTGCAGTGAGTCTGTCAACCGGGGGCTTATTTATTTAACCATTAATTAGGGGAGGCCAGATGTAGGTAGCGAAAAGGGAACATGGGAAACGGTTCACATAGAGATAAAGATGAAAGGGTGTAGGCCTTGCGAATCTGAGTTTATCGCACATAACGTATCTCTTTAGAGATTAATGAGTCCTCAGTGTTTCGCCTCACATTTCGGATGTACATAAATCAGCTGAAATATGGTGGAGACAAACGAGACCATCTAGCTTCTAGCTCCCATGAAAGACCGCTTGAAATTCCCCTTCAAAAAACTCGGGCTGTTTTCTGAAGGGTTGAAAGTGCTGATTAATCGCTTCCAAGAAGGTAAGAAGTCAGCCTTTTGCTTTCATCCTCATCCTTCCTCTAGCAGCACTCCTGACAGAGTGAGAGAGAGAGTAGAGGAGAGGTGAAAGAAAGCAAAAGAAATGCAAATGCTGTGGCCTTTTTTTCATGAGTTCTCTTCCTTGCGCACTTTCTCCAGTACAGTCTATTCCTCACACTCTGTTGCCCAAACCTTCCCCACTCTCTCCCTCTCTTATTGAGGGCAGAACATAGGGCTTAAGGGAGTGATTAGAACTTGTGGTTAAATTGGAAGCGAGGAGAAAGAAAGGATAGGGGAAATATGAAGCACTAAGAAAAAAAAAGGTATCGTCGATTAATATTCATGTGAATGTCCTAACTGTGCTCTGGCAGGGTATTAATGAGCCCAACGGCCTTCAGATGAAGGCGAGCGAGAGAGGTGACAGAGAGATTTATCCCTCCTTTAGTTTCCGGTTGACTTGATTAGAGAACATTTTATCAGGGCACAGCCTTTAGGGCTTTCACCTTGAGCCACCAAAAGCAAACAAATGAGCTTTAACTGTACATCAGGCAGAGTCCTGAGGACTACCTTTATTCCCCACGTGTATAAACACATTTTAAATGTTGTCAGGAGTAGAAAGGTTCTTCATTACTTTGATGACTATAAACATTCTATCTATGCCAGTGGTTCTCAAACTGTGGTACCACTAGTAGTACGCAGGCTTACTTCTAGTGGTACACGAAGGAATCACTGAGTAATGAAAGAAAAAAGGAACAAAATTTTAATCATTTGATGTGTACGATAACACCGATGTGAACAGCATTGGCTGTTCTCTAACGCCTACAATCAAAGCGCTGTGCCAATTGGCGCAGAACCTGTAGAGAAAGAGGTGCATGGTGCTTGCAGATACACACTAGAGTGGTGGTCCCCAACCCTCAGGCCACAGACCGGCACCTGTCTATAGATCAATTTTTACCGGGCGGCACAAAAAAATCATTCATTACTTCCGTTCCGAGTCTGAACAATCATTCATTTTGGAAAAAAAAATATATATATATTTAAAAAAAATGACTGTATTCTCTTGTTATGTCTACTGTAGGTCACTTGAGTGCCAACATTTAACCCACAGGCTAGCAAAATGAGTAAGAACGGCAGCATGACGCACTTGTGCATTCCAGGCGTACACAGTTGAAAACATCGTAACTTTTCAGAATGCCGCACTACGAGTCACGTGACAAGAACCGACTGATCAGCCTCTCAATTTCGTTAGACTAGTTATCTCAGACAAACACAGAACACCCAAACGCTGCAGTGCTTTTTAATTTCTCCATAAATAAAACTTGTATCAGAGAGCAGCAATGTTTTGTCAGCTTGACCTTGACATCCTCTGAGAAAAACGGGTTCCCTACCAATCAACATACAAGTTAATGTTTAGATTTCAAAGAGTTTTACAAATATGTCATATGCACATGCAACATACGTTTCAAAATCGATCAAAAATTCTATGAATATGACTCGTTTTCGAGCAGTGCAGTGCTGGAGCTGCTTAATTGGCCAACTACGCTACTTCATTTCAATACTGGTCATTGAACCACTGATCTATGCCATAGCTGTATCACCGTGCCTCCCAAGACCAGTTGCTCACTGAAGCTAAGCAGGGCTGAGCCTGGTCAGAACCTGAATGGGAGACCACATGGGAAAACTGGGTAGCTGCTAGAAGTGGTGTTAGTGAGGCCAGCATGCTCAACCTGTGGTCTGTGTGAGTCCTAATATCCCAGTAAAAGTGAAGGGGACACTACACTGTCAGTTGGCGCCGTCTTTCAGATGAGACGCAAAACCTGACTCTCTGTCGTCATTAACAATCCCATGGCACTTCTATTAAAAGAGTAGGGGTGTAACCCTGGTGTCCTGGCCCTCCATTGGCCCTCTATCCATCATGGCCTCCCAATCATCCCCATCCACCAAATTAGCTAGACACTGTCTCTCCACTCCACCTATAGCTGGTGTGTGGTGAGCACTGGCGCCGTTGTCCTGTGGCTGCCATCGCATCATCCAAGTGGATGCTGCACACCATTTGTCGAGTGATGAGACCCCCCCCCCATGATTGTGAAGTGCTTTGGGTGTATGGCATTTACACATTACACATTATATTACATTGTGCAAAACCTAAGGGATCATTCTTAAAGGTACTTAGGTACACTCCACATCTTTTTGGAAACAAATTATTATTATTATTTTTGTTTATTTATTTTTTACAAATGACACCATTTTTGAATCCATTCATCCGATTTTATCGTAGCTTAGCATAGATCATTTAATTGGATTAAATCATTAGCATCTCACTTAATTACCAAATCATTTCATTAATGGTACTATTTAAAGCTTGACTCTTCTGTAGTTACATCCTGTACTAAAACCCACAGAAAATAAGAAGTTGCTGTTTTCTACGTCAATGTGTTTACAAACTATACTCCCATTCTGGTGTAAAAAGTCAAGAATTTTGCAGCCATACAATGGCACACTACTATTACGCAGTGCTATAGTTAAACGTTAACTCTAGGTGACTTGCAAAATGGGCCCATTTCCAAACAAAAAGTTGAGTTTTCCTTTAAATCCCAATCCCTCAGTATGTACAATAATGCAGTCTTCAAACACTACCAAAACTCCTCACAAATAATTTGCTGTTCAATTTCCCTTGTTTACACCAGAGGCTCTGTCTTTGTAGTTCTTATAATGTGCTGAAACCAGCGGTCTCTTCTGTGACCTTTCACTTCTGGTGCCTTGACTGTCAGGGTTACTTTTCTTTCTCCATCTCGTGCTCTTCATTAATGTTTCACTGCAATCCTTGCCCTTGGTCGGCAAATCGATTCCGGTCTCCTCTCACTCCCAGCTCTCCATTTGACCCTTGACCTCCGGCTGTCTACTCTGCTCACTTTCACCGCGGCTACGTTACACGCTGGCTTAATTCGCCTCAGTCCGAACCTGATATGTTTTTCATCGAGACTGCTTCTTTCTCTCAGCAGAATGTTCCACTCTGATAGACACACTGACTGTTTTACTTATTCATTGCTTTGCGATGCTAAAATCGAGGTCGAATGACCAAATTTGCTGTTAGGCCAAACACCTCAATAAAAAACACTGTGATTTGTCTATACGGCTTAATGTGATACTGTAAGATAAGACAAACAGCACAGAGAGAAAGAGAGATAAAAAATATATATATCAGCACTCACCTTGACACTGCGTCTCCTTAACTGCAGGCTCAAACCCAGCCATGCAAGTGCAGGAACCCACAGGAACCATCCATTCTCCGTCTCCATTGCAGTAGAGTTTAAGAGGGACAGAAACCTCCAGAGCGTTTGGTACGCAAGTCCCAGGGGCAATGACTAGTGACGTGGCCTCAGCGCCAGTGGCTGTTTCTGGGAAGACGGCAAAATTGGCAATGGTTGTGGAACACTTCTTGTAGAAAGCCCGGACGGAGATTAAAGACATGCAGGCACCCAAGTCTTGGAAAGCCAAATAAAAACCAGCCTTGGAAAGTGGACCAAAGCTGCGAATCTTAGTGTTGACCCGACCGGATTCCAACATGGAGAAGCTCTCATCCGGAGCAATGGTGTCCACCTTAACGTAAGGGTTCTCCATCCAAAAAGGACTGGTGGCGGTGGCTGAATCCGAGTCGGACTCGTAGTAGAACAGATTGAAGGTCTCTTTACATGATCCTGGAATGTTGGGAATGCTATTGCAGTCTCTTACAGTAAACTTCATCTCCACGTAAACGCGGAGAACGTCCTTCCGCGGGATGAAGTCACTGCGTAGCCAGTTGTTCTGGTTGAGTTCGCGAACGTTGCACACTTGGTACGTTCGGATGGGGTTCATGGCATCATCGTAACCGCTAACTTCCTCCCACTGCATTAAAAAAAGAGAGCATTGTGAGTCGCAGATATGAAACAACACACAAGTTCACCTTGACAATGTCCTTCATATACACTGCATGCAAGGATTATTCTAGAGAACGATAGCAATAGCAGATGTTTTATCTAAAGTGTTGCACAATACGCAATATTGTCAGTATTATAAATGAAGCATTCTCATTGTGATGTTATCCAGGGCTTTAGAAACCTGAGGTGTTACGCTGCAAAGGTACTGCAGGCAGTAAATTGCTCTTTCTGAGCTAAAGCCCTACGCACCGTGGCTAAGAAACAATATAACCGAGGGAGCAAGCCGAGAAAACGAGTGAATGAAAGAGAGGGGAAATTAAATTTTGTGCGTTTTGCTTTGTGCCTACTTTCTTTTTTTTTTCAATTACACATCGTGCGTGGTGTCATTAAGTGGAAAGCGGCACGCTGGTCTTTCATCTGCATTCACCAGTTCAATGAAGAAACCTTCCTGGGCAAATTCATCAAAATTAGCATGGAGTGTCAGAACTCCATTGAATAAAACAACGAGTGCATGTTTACCTCATGCCTAGAGCGTGGAGTACTCTCTGCATCACTTCACAATCAATTACGATCCAATTAAACCATCATGATTACATTGTATTCATGCAGATCAACAAGCTACGCTCCATCCTCTACCTACGCCGCTTCTTTCTTATCTGCCGCAATTACGAGTTTCACGTCTTTTGAAAATACCAGTGAGCTGTATCTTCAAGGAGATGATTGCTATTGCGAAAGAGTTTTATCTTGGCGTGTTTATAAGGTCATGGGTGCAGCAAACAGATGCTTTAAATGGAAATGATGCTACATAAGGTGAAATGAGCATCATCATGCAATGCGTCGAGGTTTTAAAAAATTTACATGTGACTAAATGAAGTACAGATTGTGTTTGAGTAAAGGCCCTTTACATTAAATAGATAATCGTGTGGTACTTTAAAGGGTACTAATAATATTGTGTTGGAGTCCCCTAAATTAAACACATCTAAAGTCAGAAGATATTGTAATTACTTTAATATTGGGATTAGGGTTGTAACGGTATGAATTTTTTACGGTATGATAATCGTCTAAAACAATACCACGGTTTGACGGTTTCGCGGTATACGGTATTAAATAGTAATTCTCATAGCAAAGACCCTGAAAAGAATAAGAACACGTTTTCTGACTGAACAAAGGTTTTTCTATGGGGGAAAAAATGCATTTATTTACTGACAATGTATTTGCCCAAAAAGGTCTGGGAATGAACTAAACAGAAATTTTTTTGTTACAAAATAATAGAAAAGTGAAGCAAATTTTACTTTTTCCAAATAATATATTTTCAGTTACTATAAACAACACCACTTACAATGAACAAATAAAAAAATAAGAAAATAATAAATAATGTGTCAAAGTCCAAATAAACATGGTGCAAATCCTCAGTAAAAAAATAGATATAAATATTTACTATACTAAAAATAGTTACATAACGAAACTAGATTCAATATGGAACATCCTTAGGTTTTATGTGCCAGCATGGATATGGTTGTCTGTGGATATGGATTTGGATGTGGTTGTCTGCAATGCAGACAAACAGCTGCATCTTCATTTGCGTCTTTTGAAAACAGCAAGAGCAGCACTTCGTCTTTGCTGTGTCACTGTTTTGTCATGTTTCTGTGCTGCTGTGCATGCAAAAGTACTTAGTATGAGAATTATTTCATGCAAAACTTTTTTTTTTTGCGTTTTATTTAGCCGCGCAGAAATGTATGCCTATCTCTCATTCCGTGTTGTTCAAAAAGCTCATTGTTGGTCCACGAACAAAAGCGAAACCTATGCTTATTGGTTATGATATAGCGAGTTTGAACCAATCTGGGCATGGAGGAGGGACAATGCATCAATGTATCATGTCTGGTTTGTCCGGAGACACAGTGACGAGCGTTTCTTTGTCAAATCAGCGTTGTCAAATTTTGATGACGTAACCGCACTGATTCCGGAGCCTCTGAAAGTCTGAAAGCGAATGTTTTGTGATACGGCACTGGAAAGCTGAGATTCTCTTCTTTATGCCAATCTTTGAATTGTATGAATCGGATCAGCGGATCAAAAGTTATTATACATTTAAGAGCAATACTTATTTTTAGCCGCGGGCGGCTGTCTCGGTCTTTAAGGGTTAAAACCGTTGATATGCAATTGTTCATGGTATGATAATCGTGCCCGTTCAAATCGTGGTAGACCGTCATACCGGTATATTGTTACAACCCTAATTGGGATCATTTTACAATGATTTTGATGCAGTTCATTTGAATCAATTCGATGCTAAATGCTCTGATTTGTCAGTTTTTTGTTTTTAACTGGTCTGACCATGTTGGAAATTAAATGGTAATTTCAGAGTGTTCGTATGTTGTGGGCAGGCGACTATTTTGCAATTGAGTTACTTTAATCATGTTGTTCAGTAACAGGCAAAAGATTCATCAAGGGGCCGACCACACCGAATGCAAGAGGCGCCATTTTGCATGATTTACTAACAACAGCAAATATTTTGCATGCTGCTTATGCACCCTGTCTCGCGTTTTTGCCGTTGCATGTTGTGCACTCGCATAATAAAAAAAGCATAATACATTGGCTGCGTCTTTTTCATTCACCAATCAAATGAAAGCAGAGGCGGGGTTTCCGCTGGGGTGACAGCAGTGTTTGTGTTGTTAAGAAGACTACAGTGACGTTTAAAGATGCAGGTGGTTATTTGTACAGTTATCCAGAGCTGTATGACTTTACAAATCTTGAATATCACAATATTACTAACTATTACGATTATAACAACATCAACAGCAACACTTGCGAACAATACGCAGCTGATTCAGTCATTGCCTAGCGACGTAAAAAGCGCATCGCACATCTTTTTTTCTTGTCAACAAAAAAAGACAGTGTGGTGTGCCTTGCATTTTTGGAAATGAAATGCATGTTCGGTGTGATTGGCAATCTTTTTATTTATCAGTCAACAACTCTTATAGATTGTTTATATTTAAAGAACCAATATGTTGAAAACCAATATGACTTGCTCTTTAAAAAAATGCTGTTTATTTGGATCTCATTTCGCAAAAGACTCTAAAGATTTTAGCATAAAAAAAGAGTCTAATTTGACAATTTTAGCACCTATGCCAACATCCAGATCACATTTATTTGCTTTTTTCTTTTAATTGCATTTGTTTTATCATTGAGATGAAAACATGCTAAAGGTACACTGAAAATAAGCTCATTTTACAACTACCCTTACCATTTTTTAATCCATTCAGACAATCTCCAAGTCTAATGGGAGCACTTATAGCTTAGCTTAGCACAGATCATTGAATCAGATTAGACCATTAGCATCTTGCTCAAAAAAAAAAAAAGTCACAAAAGAGTTTGAACATCACAATGATATTAGTCAGCAAAGTTACCAAAGGGGGGGGGGGACTATTTTCTGGCTCTGAGTAATATCACTGCAGCCAACAGCAATAATTATTGATTATTACGCCAGAATGAAAGCATAATTCCTAGAGATATCAACCTAGAAATGAACAAGTTTTCTTTTTCTGTCAGTCTCAGTACACAGTGTAACTACTGAGGAGTCACACTTTATATAGGAAAGCTAATGTGCCGCTGATTCAGGCCTTATGACAGCGGTGAGAAGGTGAAGGGAGTGGATTGTCGTGAACGAAAGTGTCGTGCATCGCAATGTAAAGTACAGGATTGAAGACTGGGCTCCTAATAGTAACTCTGGGAATCATCCTAACTGCTAACCATTTTTTGAATTAATCCAGCCAATATACAGGTCTGACTACAGCACTTATAGCTTAGCTTAGCATAGATCATTGAATCAGATTAGACCATTAGAATCTCGCTCAAAAAATTTAAAAAGGGGGTAATTGTTGGTTGATTGAAGACTGGGCCCCCTAATAGTAACTCTGGGAATCATCCCAACTCCCCCTACTCCTCCTACCCTTGACGGCGCCCCTGTAGGAAAGTTATCAACATTTTTTTCAATCTTTTAGATGCTAACGGTCTAATCCGATTCAATGATTTATGCTAAGCTAATATAAAATTGTTCCTGCCAAACCCAGAGAATGGTTGAATATATTAATTAATAACTGTTTACTCTACAGAAGATGTAACAGTACAACAACAGGAGTGTTTCTTTAACATTCTCTAAGGGTAAACCACCACTTTGACCCTTAGGAAAGCCACCCAGAGACCTTGGTCTTCTTAAAAAAAATAGCATAAATAAAAAAAAAACTTGATTAAAGAAACAATTACGGCAAAAAGGGGAAAAGAAAACAACGCAGCATCAAGAGATTTGTTGAGAGAGTAGCGTAGTGTTTGTGAAGAGGTGAAGACTTTAATTAACACAGAGATATGGATGTTGTGCGGAAAGGCCATTCATCCATATGGGCCCCAGGGAGACGGGGCTTCCAGAACTCTCTGCTTCATCACAGTCTCTGAGCCAGAGCTATGGAGATCAATAATAAGCATCAGGTCAATGGGACGGGAGAAAGAATGGGGCGTAAATGGGCATTTAGCTCAGTGGAATAAATTGCTGACTGCAGGGGGAAGATGGGAATGAAAAAGCGGACCACACATTGCACTGGAGACGACTCTTCTTGCACGCTGCAATTGATGCTCGGTTCATTTCCGCTAGGCTCGTTTTCAGACTGCAGATGGCTTGCTTTGAGTTATTTATGCCTGTTAAACTTTGATATGAGAACTAGGGCTGCACAGTATATCATGTGCTGCATTGATATCGCAATGTGCGCAGTAGTTACAATGCAAGATATGCAATGTTGAGTCCGAATTAAAGTTAAGCAGAACCTATGATATTCGTAGAGTCACTGCTAAGTTTAATTATAGCTGCATGTGCTTTAAAGGCCCGTGACTGAGCATTTCAAGAGAGTTTAAAACATTCGGGCTCAAAGAAATTGTGATGTTTAAAGGTGCAATAGAGATTAGTTGTATTTAATTATTTATATG